GAATGGCCAGACTGGTTCCAGCTGATAGAAAGGCAACAGTAACTCAAATAAGCACTCGCTACAACCGAGCTCTGCAGAAGAGCATCTCTGAACACACAACACGTCCAACCTTGAGGCGGATGGGCTACAGCAGCAGAAGAGCACACCGGGTGCCGCTCCTGTCAGCTAAGAACAGGAAACTGAGGCTACAATTCACACAGACTCACCAAAACTGGACAATAGAAGATTGGAGAAACGTTGCTGCTCTGATGAGTCTCCATTTCTGCTGACACATTCGGATGCTCGGCTCACAATTTGGCCTCAACAACATGAAAGCATGGATCATCCTGCCTTGTATCAGCGGTTCAGGCTGGTGGTGGTGGTGTAATGGTGTGGGGGAGATTTTCTTTGGGTCCATTAGTACCAATTGAGCATCAACGCCACAGCCTACCTGAGTATTGCTGCTGACCATGTCCATCCCTTTATGAGCACAGTGTCTCCATCTTCTGATGGCTACTTCCAGCAGGATAACGCAGCATGTCATAAAGCTCAATCATCTCAGACTGGTGTCTTGAACATGACGATGAGTTCACTGTACTCAAATGGCCTCCACACTCCACAGTAGCTTGTCGAATCTACGACACCAAGGATTAAGGCAGTTCTGAAGGCAAAATGGGTCCAACCTGGTACTAGTAGGGTGTACCTTATAAAGTGGCCAGTGAGTGTATGTCAAATACATACCATATATACTGTTAATAAGTTGTGACTCATTTATTTTGTTATTGGACATATTATTATTATTAGAAATATGAAATTATTCTGAAAAATATATGTATAACAAAACTTGCTCTGCTTCTCTGAATTTATTTATACACAACATGTACTTGTCTTACTGTAAATTAAAGTAACTATAATTAAGTCAGCTAAAAATCTAAAGAAATCCCTTACTTTACTGTTGGGTGGTTAATTTAATTACTCAAGCAAGCTTACATGAGGCATTGTTTGTATTATTATTATATACATATTTTTAAAGTAACACTCAATCTTACTAACATTGTAAATTTTAAGATGTTTATAAACATTAACACTGTAGTTTTGCGCATGCGTGCAGGTCGCCCGGACTCCGCTCTTGTCATCTCTTTTTATATTTATCCATCTCCTCTTTAGCAAATTGAATGAAATGCTTCAGTCTGGATTTGATCATAACATATTAGTGCGGATCTCTAACATCAGCGCTCCGGAGCTTATTGAAGCGCACGTTTTGGCTGTAAAAAAAGCAAATCTGTCATCCAGGTGTGTTGCACGTACAGTCGCTGACCGCTAGATGCCACTGTTCACACTCCAAAACAAACATCAGTCGAGCCAGCTCAGTCTGCGCGCTCACATTCAGAAATCAGTGACCTTCATCTGGATTAAAATCACAGGTACCTGTATAACAGTTGTGTCGGCCCAAATAAGGAATAAAAATGATAAAACAGTGAATGAAATTAATTAAAACATGGGATAAAATGAGCATAAGCTGAAATATAGATTCAATGCTGGTGTGTGTGTGTGTGTGTGTGTGTGTGTGTGTGTGTGTGTGTGTGTGTGTGTGTGTGTGTGCGCGTAATTATTAAAAACATTTATCACATTTTCTTCAATAAAGGGCTGATCATTATTCTCAATCAACTTTTAATTGGATTTTAATTGTGAATAATGACAGGAACACTATTAACTTCAGCACTTACCGGTTTATTATTGATTGATTGATTGATTAATTGGTACATTAATTGGTTGATTTAAGTGTTATACAGATTGGCTGATTGATCGAGTAATTGGTTGATTGATTTATAGACTGATTGAATGGTATATGGTTTGAATACTTGACTGGTCAAGGGGCTGATTATTTAATTGGTGGGCTGATAGGTTGATTTGATTGGTTTGTTAATTGATTGATTGAGCTGATCGGTTCATTGATTTGGTCAATGGATTATTTGGATGGTTGGTAGATTGATACACTGATTTATTTGACCGATGGATTGATTTGATTGACAGACTGGTTGATTAATTGATTGGTCAATGGATTTAGTAGACTGTTTGCTTGATCAGTTGATTGGTCAATAGATTGATTGGCTAATTGGTTGACCGATTAGTTGATTGATTGGTCAATAGATTGATTGGCTAATTGGTTGACCGATTAGTTGATTGATTGGTCAATAGATTGATTTGATTGATTGACTGATTGATCAATGGATTTAGTATACTGTTTGCTTGATCAGTTGATTGGTCAAAATATTGATTGGCTAATTGGTAGACCGATTAGTTGATTGATTGGTCAATAGATTGATTGGCTAATTGGTAGACCGATTAGTTGATTGATTGGTCATTAGATTGATTTGGTTGATTGATTAATTAATGGATTTGGTAGACTGTTTCATTGATCAGTCGATTGCTCAATGGAATAAATGGTTGATTGGTAGACTGATATGATGATTTACTTGATTGATTGATCAATGGATTGATTGTGAGACTGATTAGTTAA